AGGAGGAGGAGGAGGAGGAGGGAACCCGTGGTTCAGGATGGCGGTCAGAGTTTGCTGACGCATAGAGGACGAGGAAGAGGTAGACGGAGGGACAACGGTTCGTGCAGTCCGAGTGGTGCAGTTGATCCGAAGGTGCCAACAAACCAATTGGCGCCCCAAATGTCCATTAACACCGTGGACACGTTGGAGGCGGTTGTGCGTTGGCATTGCGAGGTGGGCGCAGTTTAACTTTTCATGCTTTGCGTTTGGCATTTGCGGCGGCAGTGCGGTTGGCTTCGTAGATTACAGCGCCTGTCTTTACTGTCCTTCTAAAGGTCGGTCGGTCTCGAATGAGGTCTTCCCAATTGAGCGGGTATATTTGCAGACACTTCAGCAAGGAATTCAGAGTATCCTTGCATCGACAGAGTTGGACTCCTTTGCTGCGGGAGACCGTGCGACGTCTCCATAGGGCTGCGCTGTTTCCGCGTTATGTCAAAAGTGCTATCTTTTATGCGTGTGGTGGCACACCACAGACACTAACCTTCGCGTAGCATTAGCCACTGCACCCAACTGCATTCGTGTTGGTTGACAGGCCTGTATAGTCTTCTGGCGAGGGAGGTTGACACAGGCGAATTCATCCCCATGCCACTTCAGTGCATTTCCTGCCGTAATCCGTCTGACACGCCTGAACCTATCCTGACGTGCTGAAATTCGTGACTTGAGAAGCTGCCAACTGATGGAATAACTCGGACGCTCTGAGAGTATGCAGCGACACATTATGTACGGGAACTCCATGGCCTACTTGCCCAATGCGGAATAGGAGCCGCCGCTGTAGCAGGCAGATGCGCGCACCGAGAACTAGCTCTTGAGTGGCACGCGCAGACCGATTGTTAAGCTTTGTCAGGCACTGCGTCTGCGTCCATCCCAAGCCCACTTGGCAGTATCTTGCCATAAGTGGAAGATGGGAGAGGGAACAGATAGTGTTGTAGATTATCAAATCCTCGTTGACACCGAGGACACGTTGGAAGCGGTTGTGCGTCAGCTTTACGGAGTGGGCGCAGCTGTGGTTTGCGTGCTTCGCGTTTCACTTTCGCGACGGCGATGCGGTTGGCTTCATGGATCGCAGCATCCGTCTTCACTGTCCTCTTCCAGGTCGGCCGGTCGAGTGCGAGCTCCTCCCAGTTGATCGGGTTGATTTGCTGACGCTGCAGGGAAGACTTCAGAGTATCCTTGTATCGGCGAATTTAGCCTCCTTGGCGGCGAGAACCCGTCTTGACGTCTCCGTAGAAGATTCGTTTGGGTAGCCGCTCGTCGCCCATCCGCACGAGATGGCCACTCTAACGCAATAGCAGTTGTCTCAGCATGTCGTGGATGCTGAGGAATCCCGTCCTCTCCAGAACGTCAATGACTGGGATTCGGTCCCGCCAACTCAACTACAGTATGCGACGAAGACAGCTGAGGTGGAAATGGTTGAGTCGGCGTGCCTGCTTCGTGTACACCGTCCAAGTCTCTGCTCCATACAGCAAAATAGGGAGGATAAAGGCCTTGTTTATCTTCAGTTTCGTGCTGATCTGAAAACGGCGACGATTCCAAACTGCGTTTTGAAGACGACCGAAGGCTTGACTGGCCTTGGAAATTCGGCGGGCATTTCGTCACCGATTTTGGTGCTGCGAAAGAGGGTACTGCCCAGAGACGTGAATTTGCCCACCATTTGCAGTTTGGTTCTATTCACGCTGATGTGCGACGCATTTTGGGAGTTGGTTTTGTTGGGTGCCAGTTGGTAAATGATCAGACCGAAGTTCTCGCTGGCGGCGGAAAAGAGACCCATGCTCCTTTTCATGTCCCTTTCCGAGGTGGTGCTGAGGGCTCAGTCGTCGGCGAAGAGTAGTTCGTTGACGGTGGTTGTGAAAACACACGACTGAAAGTGCATCCTTGGGTGAATAAGGAGGTGGCTGTCCGTCCGGTAGGCGATGCAGATCCCAGGACTTTCGTCACGGTAGGCGTTCATCAGCATGGCAGAGAACATAAGACTGAAGAGGGTGAGCGCCAGGACGTAGACCTGTTTCACTCCGATGGTCAATGCGAATGCCTCCGTGACGCGATCCACCATGCCATCGTGGAGCAGACGCATCGTCTGTGTTAATCGTTCGGGACAGCCGGATGCCGAATGACTCGGAAATTGAAATCACGAAGCACAATCAACTTATCTGTCCTCGACACAGTCTCCAGGAGAGTATTCAGGTATTTGTAGAAGTTGTTTCTTGTTGCGTCAGGATTTTTCATCGCTGGAGCGTAGACGCTAATGATGGGGACGAATTTGCCTCCTCGGAGAGGCAGGCGGAGGCCCATCAGACGATCGTTATTGCCCTGCGGCAGACAGGGCAGTCGTCCGACGATGTCGTTCCGAATGACAAAGGCAAAACTCGCGTCCCGTCTTTCGGCCTTAGGACGACCGCTCCAGAAGGTGTAACCGACACCCACCTCCTCCAGTTGATCTTGTTCAGAAAACCTGATGTCGCTGAGTGCGACGATATCCATCTTGTAGAATGCCAGTTCCTGAACTACCAGCGCCGTTCTCCGTTCCGATCGGTTGCTCCTCCTATCTTCTTAAAAGGGAACGAACATCCCAGACCGCCAGAGTAAGCGGACTCAACCTACCAGTATGGTGAATGTTACAGCGGGGAGGAGGGGAAGAAGAAGCAGGAAGATAGAGTGTGTTGTTGTTATTTCTTCGTTGATTATTTCGACCGTTAGTTTAACGTCTACGACCACAGCCAGTCTGCAGATAGCGTGGTTCCCCAGCATTTCTTTCGCGAACCTCTTCTACCCCGTCCCCTTGCGGTGGAAAGTAGTGCCTCGCGATACTGTCAGGCACTGCCGAACTCCATCATACGCCGCGCCTTTGGTCTAGTCTACGAACGACCCGAGTTGGCCTTAAGAGCTTTCGACATTGCTGTAAGCCTGTGGCCTTTTGCGGTGCACCAGACGGAGCCTCGTCTCGACCATTTTGATGCGAAATTCCATCCGGCCAACAGCCCAGCGGCGTCCACAATGCCGTATGCGCAGATGCACACACGGATGCCCTCGTCTGTTTAGAACGCCGGTGGAGTCGTTTCGAAGCCACAGGTGAAAGCTGGGTGCCAGCAAATGAACTCTAGGCATATTCTGCACCTGCAAGCAAGTGCGCGACCTACAACGGCTGTCATGTGAACCCACCGTTGTACACCCCTACACCGCAAAAAATCCAACCTAATGTCATTTCATCGGCCTCAATATCTTGTCTTCATAACGGACAAACCACACCTCTGAAGCAGTTTAATTTATTTGATCGGGAGATCAAAGCTCAATGGCTAGCCACAGCAATCCAGATGGATAGGTTTTTGACTAAAAATGGACGAAGATTAATAACGACCGCGTCACCATGCAGAATATTTGAATGGTGAAAAATCCGCCGGACAGCACACGAGTAAGACCGACAACAACCCCTCCAGAGCGTTAAATGCGAAGACATTATAGAATGGATTCACCAAAAATCCAACTGAAGCGTATGATATTGAATCTTATGCCCGAAAACTGCGCGCATAGTGTTGTACAAGTCCTGTTAAACTAGGACAGTTCGACAGTCCGGCCATCTATTATGAGATGTTCACCGTGGGCTGCATAGTAGGGTGGAATCAGGGACGATGACCTGCGCGTAAATAAGTTTATGGTGACAGTAGACTGACGTAGCATTTGCTGCATTATCTCCCTCTCTGTCCACCTAAACTCATGGTTTTGACAGGGCCAAGACGACAGGAAGTGGGAGGTGATACTGGTGGATGGCACGGCGAAAACACTCATCTTGACGTGCACCATCGTACCTGCTAGAATAACATTGAGTTGGAGTGCATGATAACCGCATAAGGATGGAGCCATTGCATTCCGTCTCCGGTCCACTAGTCACTCACTTCACACAAGCACACGTAGGGCTGCCGTCGAGTTTCGAGTTATCCCCTAAGTTAGTGGCCTCCAGAGTCATGTGACAGTCTCAAGAGATTAAGTTTGTCTGTGAGGAGGAATATGCGCCGAGAGCGTATATGTCACTCTCACTACCCACTCCCCTGCAAGAGTCTACTTTCCGAGCCGGTCACATGTCTGATGCGGGAATTTGGTGCTGGGCTGTCATAGTTAGAGAGCCAATCGACGCGCGTCAAATGCACAACCTGCACCCCCAGACGCACACATCGGGATAACACGCACACACACACAAGAGGGAAGCTTCTCGGATCTCACATATGTGAGGATGCCATTAAGGAGCCATCACAGTCTGACTCTCAGTCCACCGGTTAGCCACTAAACTCACAACCATACAACTGGGCTGACTGTGAAATGTGAGTTAAAACGTAAATTCACAGAATTCCAGGTCACGGCTTTTAACGCATCGTGACAGACCCAAGTATATCAGGCTGTTGATGGTAAGTACTTATGCGACGAGAGTCGACCTAGCCCGCTATAACTTATCTAAGCTGTCTGAGCCGGTCAGCAAACTAGTACTCAGATTGGGAGACTTGCTGACCGAACTGAGAACGGCTAGCCTGCGTGCGTCAGACAAATAATCTAGCTCCCTTACGCATACGCCAGGGTTCCACACAAACGGGCAGGCCCCGTGAGCCTACAATGTAACAGGGACCGTGCGTGGAGAACATTGGAGTAAGGTTGTAATGTGGCCGTGGAGTGCATCAGATCCTTTGATGTACATAGGGCTTTCTACTATATAATGCCGCCTCGGGCGTCAACAATCACTGCTCCAGTGACAATCCCTTATAACCAAACGCGTTTGCATGAAAACAGCGACCGAACTATTCCCACCGGATCTGACGAGTCTTAACGGTTGGCACTGGCGTACGGGATGAGTTCATACCAGGCACTCTACAGGCAAAGACTGTAACAGGTGCATAAGACTAAACGTTCTTCTTAGTAAACTTACTGGATGACGAAATGTATCGTCAGGGTACGCGGAGTCTACACATTTACCTATCGGACGATATACTGACATGAAACCGCACCACTCACACATGTTGGGGAGGACATTCTATGCTATACAACGACATGATGCAAAAAGGTGTTTGCCTTGGAGCTTAACGCACCGGTCAACAGCAATAATTTCTGCCAGCGTTCACTTGTAGGCGAAGGTGCAGAGGACCATGTCAGAAGTTCTAGAGAGAAACTCAAGCACAATATATTTTAAGCGGGATGAGAAATGTCCTTAATCAAAAACCTTTGGTGACCGATGAACAGATGGAATAACAGGAAGGCATCTCCTGGAAAAAGCTGCTTTACTCTCGAAACCAACGAATACACGTTTGCTGGAACATTCCGGTCTATGGCGTGCCGGTCTTGGATTGGCGATTTCGTGTGCGAGAGTACCCTAGCGAGGAAATCTTGAATGTCCCACCGGTCACTGATTTGGTCGCGCGGGTGAGCGAAGGGCCCGACTGTGGCCGATGCTGCGGTTCACACTTATTGGCTGCCCAATTTAACGCGTGTATCTTCCAGTCGGCTTAACCCACTGTTCTGTGCGCGGTCACGTCTTCTTTTCACCGTAGACCGTGTTTGCACACTGAGTTCGCTCTCCAAAACACCCCCGGATTTCGAAAGTTAGAACTAATACCTTTTCTCCTTCTGCCCAAGATTAGTTTGAATGGCGTCTGCGTTCTTCTGTGACTTCTAAAAACGGCAGATGGTGTTGGCTGACTGACGACCTTAAGGGCCGCAACCGCAAAAGGTATCGCAGAGCAAGTCGACTGAGGTTAGGCCACTTGTGGTATATCCGTGCCAGTGCTGGTTCGCAAGCCTTTTGATTTTTTCGGCTGTCGTCGACGCCTCGAACACAACGCCTCTGAATTTCCTTATTTTACCCTCTACTCAGGGTTTTCTTCGGCTTTGTTATTGCGAACAAACATGTCTTCTCCTTAGCAAAAGAAGTATTTAGCCAATTGGATGACAAGGGCTTCCGGTTTTAGGTACCGCAATCGTTATACGGCCGGCAGTTCAAGGAGTGCTCGACTGATCTTGGACGCCAGGATCATTTTACGGGATTGTTCTATGGACAATGAGGCATGTGTTGAGACTATTTATTTTAACGCTTACGTCCTACGTTTTTTCATTGCTCATCTGAAAGTATCAACGAAACAGTTTGTTTGGCCTTTAGAGTGGGGATAAATTTACAACGACGTCATACAACGAACTTCCAGATTCTACCACAATTTTTTTTAACAGTGAGGGTGAAAAGTAGCTGCAGTTATCCGTCGGAATTTCAGCGGAGATGGTATATATTGAGATGCATTCCTTCGTTTTTCACACCGTTATATCAGTGGCACGGCCATGACGTCCAGAAACTACAGCCAGAAAGGTGCATCAAAGTGTTGTCCGTGCGGAATCTACTCCACGATTTGTTACATCCGGATATGGAATTAGCGGTACTTTTGGTGGGTTCTTAGCCTCACGTAAACCCGAAAGATTTTACTTCGTCTTTAATCCCCAGCTTATAAACGTAGCTTCAGGTGCGTCAGACCCCCACGTTCGACGCGGAATACCCAAAAAGCTTGTTACTGAAACTTATTTAAATTCCAACTCTGTTATCTTTCATTATGCAATCTTCTTTGATGTCCAACGCCACTTTTCAGTTCCTATAGGTATTCACTGATGAGTGTACTTTACCTTCTCCCGGCTAACTGTTCCGTGTGAATCGCTTTACCTGTGACCATGGAAGATTAACTGTACATGTGGTCATGATTAGTTCACACTTTGAAGGAAAGTGCTGGATGACACCTCTAAGTCAGTATCATGTTGCAGCAGCGTACTAACGACCCCTTCATCTTCTGGATTTTTATTCCCTGCTCCTATTCTTATTGTCTTTGTCGGTGGTTTTATTCTTCATACCGGACAGAAAAGTCATGACCCAGGAGGACAAGGCTTCATCGTTGTATCCTCCTGGTAGCCTGCTACGGTACACGACATTTCGTTTCCAGAAGAAATTTTCAGGGCCGTTGATACGTTTAGGGGATACAGTGTGCGCCGCAAACGAACTGACGGAATTTATGTGCTGCAAAGATGGTAATTAAGGCTTTTTTTCTACCTAGCCGTAGTTTCGTTCTGCCTTGTGAATGCTCCTTCGACATGCGTCAAAGGTATGATGTTACACTCGGAAGGAGAAAGCCGCTTAGCATATAATCTGGTGCATCCGCCTGGACAATTATTTCCTTATACGCTTCGAAGTGTAAAGGTATGGTTGACTTGCTAATCTTCCATTATATCTTGCCATACGCGTCCTGAGTATCACATAATCTGTCAGATTTCGAATTGTTACGTAGTAGTCGGTTTAGCGTTGGTTTTAAATTATGGAGGCCGCCGATGAACGGCATTTGTTAGCGGACTAGAACGTGAATGATTGCAGTTTTCGTACATTTATGACATAATCACGATTAAGACGGGAATCAATTTTTCCGTGTTGCCTCTTAGGCCATAAGCAGTGAAAACCCCACGGCCTCCTCACGCCTCTAGGGCAGCGTAGATATTTCTGCATCAGAAAGTTTATTATTAAGGATAGCCTGATATGCGTCGAAAGATGCAATTTTTTAAACAAAGAGCGTGACTGTCATTCACAGGTATACTAATCTTTTAATAAAGTGCCCCATCACGCCTCAATTACTGTTAAATCTGTCTTACCACAGGCCCCAGGCTGGAGAAGGAGGATAGAGATCAGCAGACGCTGCACAAGTTAGTTATCACCAAAAACTGCTTCAGACGCATGTCACTCTCTTGCACCTCCCATACTTCGGTAAATATGGTGACCGCCATCGATCACGATAGTTGGACTGACAATCTGTTAAAAATGAAATGCGTTGGGTTCCGTTTAGCATATACTCTATCGTAACGATGCTGGGTGGTTTTTTAATCTTTGCAGTCTGATGCGACTGTTATAAGTTTCTAATCTCACTTAATTCCATCTGTCTATTAAGTTATTCAAAAAAAGCTGTTGCGTGTCCCAGTACCTATACTAATAGATTTGTTGGAGCAGGAAAACAGAGAGGTATGCAATCACGCATATAATTACTAAGGAAAGCTCACATTCAAGCGCTTTTGTTATGGAAACACTCCTTTTATAAAAAGAAACCAAGACCCTAGTTAGCATTCACATTCCGACCGAAACGGCACCCATTGTCTTTAAGTTGACCAACAGAAAAGGCGCTGCTTTAAAGGGCTGTTTTCACGCGGGTTTGACGGTCTTAGCCGTTGCCCCCATCTGAGACCTCTCTTTGTCGGGGGCTTTTATTAACCCGTGTGGCCTTTGAGCTCAGAAGACGCAATGTCGTCTGTATCGTTGGCCACGCTTGCGACTGAAGCGAGCACTCAGTGGCCTGTTGTTCGTAGTGCGTACGAATTTGTAAAGTCTATAGGTATTCTCTTTTCGCATGTCAACTTTTTCTCAGGTCAGGGTGCTACATCTGTAGTCCACGAAGCCGTTTGCAAGTCGCTTAATCGTAAATGCGCTATAAAAATCATAAACCTTGACAAGTCAAGCACATCGGCCTCTCTTGATGAAATTAACGTTTGCTCTGGTTTCTGTTTAACTTTTTCTTATAGCGCGAAATCAAGTCCATGAAGAATATGAAGAATGAAAATATAGTGGCCTATTATGCATCCTTTGTTGATGGGACAGAGTTATTCATTGTGATGGACTTATGTCAGAGGGGTACGTCCATTGATTCTCGACGCACACCAATCACATCACACCACTTGCTTCTTTTGCGGCTCCGTTGCCTCGCAAGACTATATTTAAGCTTTTTTTGGAGAATTGGCTACTGAACGTTTTCCTAGGGGAAGTCGTATACAACTCTAAGTCGTGACACTTTCCACGACGCATCTTCATCTTTTTTAAGCACTTTATGCCACCATCATGAATCGTTCCCATAATTTCAGTCTAATTTTGCAAAATACAAATTACGCACCGCTCATTAAATACTCAGGTAGCGCCAAATGTTACTTACTTACAGACATACTAGTATGCTCGATAGAAAATCTGCTCGTGCGGCCTGTCGCAGCGCACATTTTCCCCGCACCACATCAGCCTGTTGTAATATAATTAAAAGCAATGGTTTATCCACTCCCACTCAGGGTCTCTCCTCGATGTAATAAAGTTCATTCAAAGTGAACGGGACACAACTTATGGCGTTTTTGATGAGAACACCATAGCGACTATCTTGCGCGATGTCCTTCGTGGCCTTGCCTACATCCATGAAAGTGGACTGGTGCACCGGTAAGCCTCGCTTATCCCACTTTGAATAACCTTCCAATTGTTTTCTGCTCTATGGTTGCCTCATATTTTATTCAACTCATCTGGAGCCATACACAGTTTTCTTATAGCATTCCCTTTTTTCCTCTTGTTTGAGCTAAGTGAGAGATGCTTGTAAAATAAACGCCTATTGACGGCGTTCGGGTTTGCAGACATTAGTTACTAATCAATTCCAAGCTATTAACATAGGTTCTCTGGACAAATGCCTTTAGGGATTACTATCGCATAGCCCCTCTGCATCTCGTTGAGGAGCAGACCATGTGGACCTTGATTTTCCGGCTGGAAAAACAACATTTTCGTCTCTGTTCTACGACTTAAGTATAAATTATCTGCCCAGCACCTATACTTCTCCATAAATGCGGAATCTTAAAAGACCAGATATCAAACTGCACCTGTCACCTGCCCTCTAAGAAGGCGTCCTCGCTGTCCTTGACTGGATGTGTGTGCTATCCCTGTGTACCCAGCAACGACCAGACAAGCTGGCGCATTTGGGTCAGCCGATTTGCCCGAAAACTGGGGCATTTTGGTAAAAAGAACTCAATATTTTGTTGAATAGACGCTGATGCAATTGCCTGTCAGGAGTCCATACAGTTGTGGAGTCGAACATTCCGGGCTTGATTATTTTTCTTTATCTTCAATGTGCAGATGCCAGCCTTTGACACCCAAGGAATAGAATGCGTTAGTGTTTGAGCCTGCAGCCCCTACTACGACAGCTCCAGCCAGCTCAGAAGGGCACATTGTTGTACCAGATGTCGATATGGGAACAATTTTTCTCCTCGCTAGAGAAGCAGCTCTTGTAGAGTTAACTTACGTTTGTTATTGTCTTCGAAACCTAAACCTCTCATCCAGCTGCGGGCATGGATGTAGGAATTCCTTCATCCAAACAGTATCAGGAGTTATGCGACCACTCAGTCAGGCCTCATCTTATGACTGCTGCTGTGGATTTGGTGACTCCGATTGCGTATGCAATCTGCAATTTCAGCCGCGTTTTCAGGATAGGACAGTATCGCATCTTCAGTTTTTTGACTAAAGAGAACTTTTTTTCCAATACCACTCGGCAAGCCTAACTTTGTGTACCACCGCAACACATGTTGTCGGCGCTGTTCACTACTTTGCCACTCAAAGTTGTTGTTTCATCATGAACTCCTAGTGATCAAACTCAGTCCATGACAACCGTGGAGCGCGGAAGTCATGACTGGAATTCCACATTTGTTCTCATTTATGGTCTCAGTTCAGATCTGCTCATTCTTGCAAGTTACGTGATATCAACGTTTTCCTTGACTCTGTATTTTGGGCTTCGGTGCGTCGTCCAATTCTTTTACGTTGCCACACACGAGGGATTATTATTCAGGTCTTCTTAAACATGCCCCGGAAAACTCTGGATCCATTAGCTCAATTGCCGATCAGTTAAGAGAGACGTTATTAGCAAAGCCATCTGAAGCACCATGACAGATCATCGGGCAAAACCATTACTGAGGCAGCAGTCAGACCGTTATTCTGGTCTAAACTGCGACAATCCGCAGCCAACGGGCCCATGCACATTTAAACTCTTATTTGTCATACTCACTTTTAATCTCCAACCGACACCGACAATTTTAGCACGGAAAATTATTAATGTCAGCGAAAAGGTCACATCTCCAAAGTACAACCTTAAATTCGCCTCTGACTGGACAGTGACACAGCAAAGACCGTACATTTCTGATTACGAAAATCTGGCCACTTTCACAAGGGGCAGTCATTCGGTTGCACCCGTCCAGCCGCGACTGCAAAGTCTCACGGTCGTCGCGTGGTTTTCATTTGTGGTGCATAAATACTGCTCAACCAATCCTGTAACTCAATGAGCTGTTTGTATTTTGGATCATAAGGTGTCACCCAATACTTTGCTGTTTATCGTCCGACTACGCCTGCCGTTCATAAACACTTGGCTGTTAACATAATTTTTACACACTTGCCTTCCTTTTTCTCATTATTGGAGGTTGTTTCCATCTTATTCGGCGAAAACCTGACTTTTTCGATCGGCTAATCAGACCATTTGCATCATAAAAATCTCTTTCCAGTAACTCGAATTCTATGCCAGCGTTGTACGTAGGTCCCGTATAATTTTGACTCTTTTGTTGCTGTTTATAAGAGTACTTCGGTTGTTTAAGTCGTCTCTTTCCCTGCCGCCAACTGGCTTGGCGGAGCTCTTTAGTAGATCTTTTCTCGAAGTAGAATCTTGTGGGCGCCTCAAATACGAGTGCGAACATTGCAACTGGTAGTAGAGACGCGTGCGCCGATCACGTTACGAAGCTCACTCGTTTCGTTGTGCCTTAGGATTCTCTCGAGCTCTGCGGGCAGCCGCACAGCGGCGCGTAATGTAGGCAGAGAAGGAAAACCGGATGGCCATTTCCGGTCTCTAGACTGTCAGCAGCCACCCATAACCAATCCCGAGGGCGTTGTACTTCTAACCAACAGGTCACGAGTTCGAGCCTCTGAGGTTGCATACTTCGGGGCTGGGTATGGCTGTCTAATGACGACTAAGAAGCCCAAAATGGTCATTTTAGCCCCCCTTGTAATGTCATTACAAGTATTAAAAACGGTAACCATAATTTGTATATCAGGACCCTTGTGATCTGCTCTTGTAGTAGAATACAACTTCTGAATGGCTGGTGTAATTGATGCGCTTTTGTTTCTTCTATTTAAGTGTTTGACCCATGATCTATTTTCGAGCTTTTCGAGATTAGCCACTGCCCAGCGCCTAGGGCTTAGATTCAGGACGTGCAGCATGACACGGGTCTTGACTTGCCAAACCTGCCCATTTCCGCGCGCTTCATGTCAAGTGCCTTGAACCACGTCACGTGATTCATGTGGCACCTCAACGCTCCTCTCTCGCCTTTGTACTTTTAGCTTGCTATTCATTTAAATAGCCGCCTGCTGGCTAGACCGCGTTGGGGCGTTCGACCGAAGGCAAGATCTGCATTCTTTGTTCGATGGGCTGTTCGGTCAAGGTCTGGTTCGATATAAGACGGGGACAAATACCTAGTCAGACCCTGCGCCCTATCACACCAACAGCCTGCTCAACTTGATTCCACCTATAAATAATAATTAACTTGGAAAGGTAGGGGTCAGTCATGCTAACCTGCGCAGACTCCTGTGCTATTCTACAACTCATGGCATGAAAGCCTGCTAACTGACGTGTTAACACAGTCCCTGGTTGACTGTTAATGTTACACTGCATACGTTATCTGACCATGTGCCCTGCAGTTCGTTTTTTGTTGCGGCACGAGCTTATGCGTGTTACAGGCAAGACCTTAGCGACTGCCCGGTTAATTGGTATGTCCACGGTCACCTTCAGTAAAGTCCCTCAGAGTTTAGCCTTTGAAGCACGATGGTTGCGGGAAGAGAGATTGAGGTCGGCGCCCAAAAATTAGTCCTCCGTGTTCTTTAAACTCGAGTAGTCCACCTCCATGAGCAAGAACTTATTCGCCCGCTTCTTAAATTCATCTTGTAGATTATGTGGATGTGAACGAAAGAAGTACTTTGAATTACGAATGAGCAATCTAGCATTGTCTCTTGTCATTGTGACCACCAGTATCGACCTTTAAGGCAGTCGTCAATTCTCCGGCTGGTTCTTACCTTTGGCGTCACCAAGTAGCGCTAGTTCCACGCATTTATTTAGCAGTGTTCGCTTCGATTTCCGTACCTTTGTCACTGTGCTTCACCACGTTGGCGGCTCGTCCGACAGGGTTTGATTTTGTCCCATGCAGAGAGTAGGCACGTAATATGAGGTGAGGGGGGGGCTCTCTCCATCAAATTGCCTTATCGTGTTCATGGAATCTATTCTCCATTTCCCCTTCTGGTTAATCTGTATGGCTGGGAGATCAGTATGCGCAAGAATTGCGGCAGAGAACACTTAATGCGCATAAAAGTCATATAAAGGAGGGCTGATTCGCAGTCTTGAAAAGGACCGTGCTTTCCCGTCAGGTGGAAACCGTCCCAGCGTGGCGTGATACATTCAGATTCATTTTAGTGAGGAATAGGCTTGCTTTACGTAGGGGTGGATTCCCTACTGTCGGCCTCTTCCATTTCTCAGCTGACTGTTTGAGCCAGTCTGCCATCCGATGCTAACATTGGGCTTAAGTGACTTTGTTGACTTGATAGTTAGGACTTTTAAAACATCTACCCCAGTTTGCTCTTCTTGAGTTCATTATGTTTCCGAGGCAAGGTAAGGTCAAGGACAACCAGAGATTGGCGTGCGCGCTCAGTAGCTGACGAGTCTAAACCGTCGTCTAGTAGGTCGGTCTCATTTTTTCTTTTGCTCTCCTATCATGTTCTCGTTAAACTGACGGAGTCTTAGTTGGCCCCTTTGTGCTCATAAGCATGTATGCGTACGTTCAGATCTACTGAATCTGACAGAATCAGGGTGGCAGGCATCCGAAACGATGTATTGCACCGATGACGCCACCCGGACATCGCGGCGCGATGTCTGCTTAACGAAGTCCTGCTTGAGCAGAAGGTCGCACAACATTTTTTATGGTGCTCACATGAGTACTGATCGTATGTACTCTTTTCAGTCATAGCTGTGGTCAGTTGGCCAGAAGTTTGCTTTGATAGCCCTGGCTTATTAAATCATGTGCTGGTATCTTGTGATCGTCTGTCACGCGCCAGTATCTGCTTACTCAAGTCAGTGCAGGGTATGGAAGGGGAAGGAGGGCTGATACTGGTGTTTACGAGGAGCAAAGTTATGAGGGCGTCCGATACGCCACGTGCACAGCGATGGTCTGCATACGCGGTCGTAATTTAATGAACATCACCCCATTGTGAGCTTCTAGTGCATCAGTCTAAGTGTAGTTTGTTGCAGATTTTGTTGTCCTAGTGCATAGTGATTTGAGTCCTCGTGTTCCCCGATAGGCTGTGATGTGTGGGCGCTTTGTGCCTGTTTTAGGTTGCGGTGTCCCAGTTTTTCATACCAACTACTTCTTATAATCGGTTATTTATTGTAGATGTCATCTTTCGCTGTTGTTGTTATGTGGCTGAGCTCATGAACTTTGATTGCCATCCATGGCTGCTCTGGCGACTGTACGTTTTGAATCTGTCCTGCCGAACTGATTGGGAAAAAAACCGGAAAAGTACAGGTCTGATGCTAAAGGAGGACTTGTAATAAGCTTTTCTTTTCATCCAATGATCTTCTTGTCAGAACTCACCTCTCCCACACCTTAGCCTTTTGGAAGGCGACTTACGTTTTTCTGCCACCGAGCTTACCGAAGACCCACTGGCAGAATTCCTTATTTGCCCTGTTCTACGAAACGCATGCAGAGTTAAGAAGTAGTGAATATTTGACAGTATGCGGCAGAATTTCCGGAGCCTTTAAATTGCGCCTCACTAAATCAAGACTGTAGTAATTCTTAGCGTTTGGAGTATTCACAAGTCATACATGATATCATATTATCTTTCATATTGACTTAACTGTGAAAAACTCGGCGCATCAATGGGATTCGAACTCACTACAGTAGGGGGGAAGGCTTTAGTGCAGCCAACGCCCTAACCACCTGAGCTACGAGGCGGCGCCGGACGACGCGAGTTTAATCACATTTGGGTCAAGTTACCCGCCCAACCTACTGCAATGTCTGGAATCCACCAAATCTGATATAGTAAATTGACTGCTGTTGTGGGTTCGGATCCCACCGACGCGCCGAGTTTTCCACAGTTGGGTCAATATGCATTATTCAAAATCTGCCAAAACATCTATGAAAACATCTATGAATATCATCTTTCGATTGGACATCTGTCAGATCACCTATGTAAAGTGCTTCGGGAAGATTTACCTCATTTCTTGGCACTTCTAGGTCGCCGTACATTTTTCTTATAATTCCTCACAGCAGTGTATTAAGAAGTTGGCGATCTTGCTTATTTTGTGGGAAATTACATCTTCAACTTTTTTTTATATAAAACAAGAATGCCTTTTATTTAAAAAACCCCGTAGTTATAATAATTTGGGATTTTTTGTACACTTTATTATCCCAAAGATGGCCACTTCCTTCAAAAAGTTAGACCTTGGCTCCTCAACAGTTCTAGCCTTGTTGGCGTAATTTTCGGGAAAAGAACGTCCCAAAATCCGTAGGCTTGTTAATCCTGCTTATTCAGTCGATGTTGTGGTTCGTTCTGATTGCCATGTTTTAACCTCCAAGCTGATTCTCCCCAGACACGTTTATCAATATAAAAGAATAAAAAAATGACGTCTAACACAAAACTTTGAAGCAATACTACTAGCAGAAGTGCGGCTCGCATTTCAAAATATGCAAAAATTGACAAACTCTTCTGCAGCCGAAGTACGATTCCTCCACCAAGCACAAGTATAAACAATACCAGCCTCCTGGATTTTCCGTTGATTTCCTCAACACTAGAATCCTCGGCACCTATTTATTTTTTCAAGAGCACCACTGTACAGTTCACTTACAGTGGAATATGCGTTCAATGATGTCTCTGAATTTCTTGCTGTCTATTCTACTTGACTCTTGAAAATGAGTAACCGCCCTCCTTTCCCACCTGCAGTTCGCCTAAGTCTCAAGTTTTCGCGCTTGCTTTTAACTGGTTCGTTAATGTTAAACAATTTCCCATTGTGGTAGAGAGTGGAGTAAGCGGCACCCGAGGCGAGGTGAAAATTGGCTGGCTGCGTAAAAATAACCGAAAAAAAGAGAAGACAGGGCAGTAAAATCCCTTCATCTAAAGCAGGTTTGGTCACACGCATCTGAACGATAAATGTTTGGCTTCATCTGCACCAAAAATGCATGCCTCACATCCCCTGTCCTCTTAAATCCCAGACAACATATACTTCTTATGGCCTTCATTTTTGTATTATGAGCTATTTCGGCACCGTATTTTATGATTTTATACTGAAGGTAGCAATGAAGCCTCACACATCCCTTTTGTGTTGTGCTAGGTGTGCTTCGCGCCCTCCGGTAACTCGGTTAGCGTTGGCTCACCGTCGTTGCAAATCCTTTCCAGTATTTACATAGTTTAAGTGTCTATGAAAACCTTTGACCAAGCCGCCCTCTTCTGTGATTGCTCTCATAGGAGCCTGAGCCGGTTGGTTCCCTTGAGCCGCCACTCCCAGAATCTCTTCAAATTAGTGTTCCGTGGACTTTTCGCCTGATTCCTCCCATCATTTTTTGGTCACTGCGTTTGAGTCCCCTGAGTGATAGTAGTTTGACCATTCGGTTACTCCGTGAGACGTACTCTTTACGGTCATAGATAACTGTAGTTGTTTTTCGACTGTGGGCAATAAAGCTACCTAGTAAGATGTGATTCATCGCATCCACTTCTTCACATTGCCGAGGTTTAACTCGTTGCAAAGCAACCTCACGAACCCAGAAATCTGTGATAAATATTAAGCGCACGGAAAACACTATCCTAAAGTAAAATGCGGAAAAAAGTGAAACCCGTCCTCATCTACTGTGTGCTTCCTTTTGTGTTTCAGCGATTTGAAATGTGGAAACCTGCTCGTCAAGGACGACGGGGTGATTCAGATAGCTGATTTTGGCGTGGCGGGGTTTCTCGCCACCCAGCCTATGTCGGCAACCGGAAGTGTGGATCTTCGAAGGTACACGTTTGTCGGCACACCTTGCTGGATGGCTCCGGAGGTTATGCAACAAGTACGCCATCTCCCTCCTCCCCATCTGTCTGTGCATGTACAGGCCGACGTTTCTATGTTATGAACTGAAAACCACGCATGCATTTTAGGGCAAGACTGAAAGATAACTATCCTACTCAGAAACCCATGTTAGTATGACCAGAAAGATGCCCGTATTTGGCAAACGGCCTCGGGTATGATGCTTTCGCCAATATCTTCGTTATATTTTACTTCATTGGACCGCAGTACTTCAGGAAATGTTTGCCTACATACCCCAAAACTGTTAGATTTGAAAGTGCGCTCACCCTGCTTATATGCATGGTGACAGAGTACGCAATAAAACCGCACAAATAGAAGACGTGTCGACATTGTACGGCGGCCCAATTGGGGTTTACCCCTCCTGATTTGACACAAGATGTACTCACAATGACATTACCGATAAAGGCAAGGGAGACTGGAATGGTTATTTGTGGCTTACCACAGATTTTGTAACCTCTGAGGCGCCAGAAGTCCAACGCCTAAACCACTGAGCCACAGGCTAGTTGTGCTGTATGTTGTGATCGGGTAAATATAATGGTAAAAAGACACTCACCGATTGCGTTACGGGACACGTTCACTCCGTTGTGCTTTGGGTAGGACCTGGGGTTGGATAGGACTGACTGATAACGGCTAGTAAGCCAGAACTGCCCATTATAGTCTCGCTTGTCTTTGTTAGTAGTGTTATTCTACGTATATTATCAGTCGCTGCGCGGCTGCTGGCGGGACCCTAGACTGAACCACAAGGCACAACAGGACGAGTGTATCCCCTAACGCGATCGGTGCGCCGCTCCTCTACCCCAAAATGTAATCACAGTGATGTATGACGAGCAGGATTCAGGGCTTTTTAGGAATCGAAACCCAGAAGTACGTACAGTAACATGAGATATCACCATGTGGGGTTGGTTCTGCTAGTACCGTCTTCGCAGGCATTAGAACAAAAATTTGCAATGATGTTGAAGTGTTGTTGACGGTTGGCGCGTTCACGTGATACAATGCGGTTGAGGGGTTGATTTCAGCTCGCTTAGATAAGATTGGCAACCAGCCCTTTTCTTATGGTTATGCTGTAGGAGGTCATGTAACCTCGACAAACCTAAAAGCCGTTGGAGCCAGAAGATCGTCTCTGTCGTTTTCTTTACGACATTTCACATTGGCGTTGTAACCAATGAGACTGACTGCCGCTCACGTAACCTCGAAGAGACTGCCGTTTGCATTTTTCTCAAATCACAAGCTTACTAAAGAGGCTTAGTCTTCACTGGATGAACGCCTCCTTTAGAAGCATTTGCAAGCTTGACCACACCTATTAGTCTGTTTACATGCAACCTCCTTTTTTTCTTGATTGCAGTAAAATCTCACCATTTTGTTTTATCCTAGGCCTCTGGATACAACCAAAAGGCGGACGTTTGGTCGATCGGCATTACCACCATCGAGATGGCAACGGGACAAGCACCGTACGCCAAATACGCCCCGATGAAGGCACGAGACAAGTTCCTGTGACTGTTTGCCTTGGAGATATTTTCAGCCCCAATTCTCATGCTTATCTAGCCAGGCTTTTGAATTCCTCACTGGCTTTGCTTGTCCCTGATGGGCTGCTTTGTTTTCATAATTGCGATGGTTAATAGGGTAATTCCGTCACCGCATAATTGCCCTGCCTGCCTGCCGGGGGTACAAAGAACAGTCTTAGGTATTTCTGCGAATTAGTGTTTTTCTCCCTATAACTTATGACTCTCCGCTTATGCCCTAGTATTTTCCTATATTAGCCTAATCCTAGACACAATATGTCAAAAGGTCTGAAAGCGTGTGCTATGCCAGTATCAGCAAACAAAAGCCCTCAGTCTCCTGTGCTCTGGCAGTTCCCTGACACCTGGTTCCCTGCCGGTAGATTGACCTGCGCTAGGTATACAAGTGGTGGACATGGCTGCCCAGTCATCCTCGTCCTTCTGACCCCTACCGGGGTGTTGTTGTTGATGATGTTGGTCAAAAACCTGGTCATTTGCTGCGTGGACCAGGGGTGTGGAGTGGGATGCCAAAGTGCGGGCTCGACCGTGCCACCCACCTGCGTCCTCCCCCGCCTCCGGTCTTCTTGACTCTGTCTTGACACCGGGGCCAGATTGAGGAGAAGGAGAGAGTGCGGTAGATGCTGCGTAAGCCTGCTATCACAATAAACTAATTCACGCGCAAGTCACTGTATTTGCTGCACCTTGCTGTGTAGCACACGGTGGGCATCGTCGGAATCGACGGTCGAACCTTCGGTAGTCCCAATTCAACATCAGGCGTCCTGACGAACGGCGATGAATATATGATCGTAGCACGCCGTCGTTGTCTGTACTCGTTTTCAGAGGCTTGCCGTACAGAGGACATTTTCAGAAGAGTCACCTTAATTTGTGTTGCAGGTTTGAGTAAAAATTTGCTCTTCCTTGATCGTACGAGCTTGATAAAGCGTGTATACGTTGTCACTCACTCCCCCTCCCCCACCCTTTTTGTCCACAACGTGCATATCTGTTACATCTGCCACTTCGAGTTTTCTGACTTGGCTGGCAGTCTCGCAGCAAAATAGTGGTTGATTTAAGTTACGCTCTGTGTCAGTGAGCGTCTGGGATAACATTGATTTGACGAGCTGACAGCCTGTTGGAGACCAGCTCAAGTCCCCGTGGCCTTCCCTTGCTAGGCGACTCCTCTGTCAGGCGGTACGCGCTGTGATGCGTAATCCTCTTCTTCCTCGATTCGTCATTCATGACTCACCCACAAGAGTGGCTGCTAATTGCTGACTCGTGAGACGTTCATGACCGGTACTGGCTTCATTCCACAACACTTCCTTGGGCACACGCAAAACACCTCGGGGACTTGGTACGGTAGTTTACTCCTAGAACATGCTTTTGCCTGAATTACATTGTAACTAAGGACTCACTAGCCGCCCAACCATAATGACCAAAGTGAGTTGTCCGCCTCTGGATGTTAAACACACTTTGACTACGGGCACCTTGTTTTTCTACTGAATACAGACACTGGTGTCCTTGGTAACTCCCAGATGTTGGTGAGGTCTGACAGCGCGTGCTATGCCAGTATCAACAAACCATGGCGATCGCAGCCTGGAATGCGCTGGCAATTCCCTAACGCCTGGTTCCCAGCCGGTAGATGCACTTGCGGTGGTCCCGCCCAGTATACAGGTGGTGGACATGGCTGCCTAGTCATCATCGGCCTTCTGGCTCCTGTTGGGATGTTACTGTTATTGTTGGTCAAGTGTATGTTGTATTCCAGGGGGGTGCCGTGGCACGCCTAGGTGCGGGTCCGGCCGTGTCAGCCACCTGCGCCCTCCCCGCTCCCCGTCTCCTTGACCCTGTCTTAAAACCGGGTCCAGATGGCGGAGGAGAGAGTGCGGTAGGTGCTGCGCAAGTCTATTCTCACTATAAACTAGTCCACGCCCGAGTCACCGTGCCTGCTGCACCTTGCTGTGTAGCACACGGTGGACATCGTCGGAATTGACGGTCGAACCGTCATATTGGTGAGGCTGCCATGTGTTTGGTAACAATTCTTCATCCTCCATAGCTGTGGAGACTTGCCCATGCTAAATCCGCTACGAAATACTTAAAGTACACCTTTCATCCGTGCGACGTTTTTTTTGGATCAGACATTTTGGAACGGCTGCCTAGAACCAAATCCACCACATTTTGGGCCGCTTTTGCTTTTGTGTGGCTGCCACAGACCCTGTAGCCCCACGTGCATGCGCGGATAAAAAGTTCGAAGAAACTGATTCGAGATTGGAGCTTTTCGCAAAAGACGGTTCACCTCAGGTAGACAGGTTCTTCCAGAACTTCGGACAACCCACCTGTCACAACTATCACACATGCTGAACACTGTCCGAATTTCAATCTTTACTGCATGCCACGTTACTGTACAGTTAGAATACTGGAAGTAGACCCGACAAGGAAAGACTAGGGAGACTGGGATGGCCATTTCTGCCTCCTTAACCGTCATCTGCAGGCCCTATACCATCCCAGGTTTGGGGGGCCCCTGTGGTTCGAATCCGAGTTCTTTTGAGTATTCAGCATTGGTACGTCCAGCGCTCTATTCATTGTTCTGTCTCATCCTGCCAATTTATGTCGGGGATGTTGTTGCCTGCGTGTTCACCAGTCCTGTGTATGGCTGTTTAA